AAATCAACATAACACGTGCGCTTGCGTGCCGTAGTAGCAATGATGAGCTAAAAACCCATAGTCGCAGGATGGAATAATAACAGCATCGGATAATTATTCGCTCCTGATAGCGGGCATGTAAAATTTCGTGTTACTGTACTTCCATTAGCAGAGGTGGGTACAGGGGTCGGTGTTATGGTGTAAGCTTACATGGGGGCATATTAATTGTTTTGTACATTAAAAGCAAGACGATGTTGATGTACTAATTTGTTATGAGTTTTCCTTTATTTTACAAAAGTGCCTTGGTGCCCTTCTCAAATATTGAGAGTTGCCTTGGTGCCTTTCTATTTTAGAGAAAATTCAAGGCTATTTCTCACATGCCCTAAAAAAATTGCCTTGCCCTTCTCGTCGCTTAATTCGAGCCCTGTGCAAGTCAGTGCAAGTCATGCAAGTCATGCTTTAAGTTTGTGGTGAAATTGAAAGGCATTTAGACAAAATCAAGTGCATGGGTGAATTAAACCAGAAAACAATGAAATAAATCGGCTAACGATCAAAGCTCTTGATATTTCTATACTTATTTCATTATTTGCGTGCACCTCTTCCCCCGTTTAGAAATGTGGGGTTGTGTGGATTTGGAATAAGTAGAATGGATTATGCGCTCATGAAAATTATTTAATTTAATAACAAATTATACATAAAAAAGTGTAAAGGAAATTCGTATACAATTTTAAGTAATAAACCTATATTATTTGCTAAATATAAAGATCTCTCTTCCTGCTATGAGCGAATAGTGTAGGAGAACATAAACCACATGGTGGTGCTCTTACATTTAGAAATTTACTACACTATTTTGTCGTTTTTAGCTATATTTGATGGCGGACAAGACGGTCGGCTGTCGGCCGAAGAAATGGATGAACAGCGCAAAGAGAACATCGCATATGAATACCTGTGTCATCTGGAGGAAGCTAAGCAGTGAGTCTGTTAGCCCTGTAAGGCTGTTAGTCTAGTCCAACCACACCTCAACATGCAAATTGCCCTTTCAAATTACTTTCGTGTATGTATTTTGCGGCATACACAGTACAGAATGCGTAACCAGTTTAGGCACGTTGCATTGAGCCACATGCGCACTGGTGAGCATGTTGCATGGAGCCTATTGTAACCCATTAAGTATCCGTTTAACCATTTGTTGTACAGTGCTTGATTTTGGCTATTATGTATAGAGATTTTAATGAAATTGGATTGAATATGTATATTACACATAAAAATACATATTATGTATTATGTATGGGGGTCATGTAAACATCCTCAGGAGTGTACAGCGTAACTAACTCTGTAGGAGAATCAATGTGGTATATATACTGTCGGGAATGGGTTTGATCCGCCAAGCGCCAAAGTGTCTGAGTATGTTCTACTCGGCAAACTCACGTTCGGTCACGTTCGGTTGGCCACATTTAGAACATCATTGAATAAGCTTGTTGAAACTCTTGTTAGTGGGGGTTTTGGGAGCTACCAAAGCTATGTGCTTGCTCCCTATCCTCTCACTTAATAGTAAAGCACGGCAAACCGTTGTGTACAGTTTACAGCAATTTTTGCTCGGCACTGTGTACACACATCTACAACACTGCGGGTATACAATTGCACCCTTGACTGCTCCTGCACGCAGGCTCAAGTAAGACAGTTAGTGCAGCTGAATGACTCATGTGTACAGTTCTAACTGTCACTGAGCTCATGGTAGCTCCGGACACTCGTCTAGGTAGAGATTTTAGTAATATCTGGGGTACTGCTTTATCTGTTGCCTACTTAGATAACTAGCACATCTAGTGCTATCAAACAGAGTTATGGGTAGGAAAGTTGATCATATATATATACTATATAGCAACGGTTACACCTTGATTAACAGCAGTGATTTTATGCAAACCATGCAAGTATCTGATTTTGAAATTTGAAAAAAATAAATAAACAAGTTGCAAAGGTTGTTTGTCATTCACATGGGAAAGAAAGGTTTTATGCATGAGAACATAGTACTTACAGCTACACATACAGGTATGCAGTTACTGCTAGTGAGTAAGCACATGCCCTCATGCAGAACAACAATTAGTTTGCAAGTTCATAATAACCGGTACAGTACAGGTGCGAAAAGTCACTCACCCTCAAGTCTGTGGACCTTGCATGGGGTAATCATATGGTTTGGACATATAGCAGGCTTCTCCCATATTGCCTATTAAAACTATATACAGTAGTGCCCTTATCATTTGTGCACACTGTGCGAACTGCTGCTACTACCATACTTTTAGTTTAGTTCTGTTCGTAAAAACTAAAAACGGTGGAGAGGGAATTGTGAAAAAACTTGTTTGCTGACCTGCTTAAACGTAAGAAGAAAGAAGGAGTGTCCTTATAAGCATAACACCGGTTTTGTTACCGCAAAGAAGTTGAAAGAACCACTGTTTACACACTAATTTAAAAAGGATTTGAATTGCCTCTAAATGTGTACTTTTTAGTGAGAGACCAGTCACTAAAAGCAAGAGTTACACTGATTGTTGACGTTAGGATTATTGTTAATAGCATTCGTTTTGAAATTGGAGTTATCATCTAGATTAGATTTACAGCTAGTTTTCTTAATTCAGTTTAGTCTTACAGGTATTGTTAGTGTGAAGGTTAGGTTTATAGTTGGTATTTTCGTTGAGTTTAGACACGGGGTTGCTGGTATAGTTGCCTAGCATATTGCGCCAGCAGTCTGTATAGAGAGAGGCTCACATGAAATTGCATGTGTGCGTGTGTGTGTATCTGCAGATGGATGGAAGCTTGTGTTGCAGAGGAGCTCCCTTCCACCACAGCACTCGAGAAAGGTCTCATGAACGGGGTTTACCTCGCTAAGTTGGCACACTTTTTCTGCCCAGAGGTCGTGCCGCTCCGGAAGATATATGATCGGGAGCAGACCAGGTACAAGGTAGGTGTCTTAACCTGATGTATGATCGGGAGCAGACCAGGTACAAGGTAGGTGTCCTAACCTGATGTATGATCGGGAGCAGACCAGGTACAAGGTAGGTGTCCTAACCTGATGTATGATCGGGAGCAGACCAGGTACAAGGTAGGTGTCCTAACCTGGTGCATTGCTGTTTGTCACGACGTAATTTCACTGTGAAATCTCTGTTCGTCGTTACCACAAAACGCCATCTACTGGTTAATAAAATCGCATCATTAATTTAAATGTTAAGCGTTACTCCTGCCGCATTGAAAAGATACTGAATTTGTCTCTGATTATTTACTTAGCCTCCGTGGGCAGAAAACCAATTATGCATTCGATGAAACTGCTGACATCTGAGGTTTTGCGGCTACACCGCCTCTAGCTGTGTGCAGTGACAGAATTTTATTTTTGTTAGGCATCCGGACTGCACTTTCGACACACAGACAACATTGTGCACTGGCTTAAGGCAATGGAGCGAATAGATTTCCCCACGGTACGTGAACGACGTCAGTGCTGCCGTGTCTACTGGCAAAAACATTACACTACTGTGTGCACTTGTAATAGCAGACATTATATTGCAGAATATTGTGTTCATAGTTATCGTCTGTTTGAGAATCTGACCATTAACATGTTTGTTTGCTAATATTCCCCTAAGAATTAATTTCTAATTGCCCATTAAACACAATACTTTGATAGCCACAATGTAAATGCCTGATATTATGACAGCCGTAAAAACCTTTAAATAATACTTAATACATGCACAAAAATTAGGGTTCAAATATAATACTTGTTTCTCCTAACTTTCTCATCTGTCTACACTTAAAATATTGTTTCTTCCACATATTTATAGTCATATATTATCAGTCTTATAGTCTATATCTTTATATAGTATTATTATTTATCAATATGGTGGATCCCACCTGGAGTGGGTTCTACTGATGTGGATTTAAACCCTTGAGTCCAATATAAAATAATGAAACCGAAAACAACAACAACAACAACAACAACAACAACATAGTCAGTATTAAAAAAAACCACAATATGCATTGGTAATGTTAATGAAAAATACGGGCAATATTTGAATATTTCTTGATTGCCCCGTGTTGGTGTCTTCTAGTAAATAGGAACACTGGATATTGTGTGCCTGTGCCTGTCCCTGTGCACTTGTGCTTGTTGCGTCCACGTAGCTTGTGTGTGTGTGTGTGTGTGTGTGCGCGTGCGTGCGTGCGTGCGTGTGTGTGTTATGTGCGGCGTGCGCACGTGCGTGCGTATGTGAATGCGCATATGTGTGCGTGCGTGCGTGCGTATGTGAATGCGCTTATGTGTGCGTGCGTGCGTGCGCGTGCGTGCGTGTGGATGCGTGCGACTGTTAAATAGAGGAGTGGAGGGGAATGGTTCTCATTTGTGATAGGCGTTAACGGCCTGCCCTATACGTTGTCAGCGCGTCGTAGTACGTTACATCTGTAGAGCCACATGTGCCTGCACCGCATGCACCCGGATTTCCTGTTTCCTGGGTACAACGTATCCTCATGCTGCTGTCAGCGCGACGAGGTCGTGTATGTGCGTATGTGGTCTATGTGGCTTTATGTGTGCGTGCGTGCGTGCGTGCGCAGCTGTGGGCACGCACGCGCCTGTGTGTGCTTCTATCCACGTTCGCAGGCTGGGTCCCAGGGTGGAGCTTTTCATGTCGAAACGTACAGCGACCTTGTTGCGTACAGCGTTGGGCCCCAAGGTCTTGTGAGATTTGTTAAATAATAAACGTACCGATTACAAGAACCACAAAACTGTGAAAGATGTGAATGAACAGCACCGTAAAATAACAACGAGTTTCATATTTTCGACAGGGGGGACTAGAAATAGAACAGGAAGTGATTGGACAAAATTTTAATACCAATAAACAATGGTTGGTGACTGGCCTCGTAATTTTAGAAATGTAGTTATTTCACCTTACTGTAGGCAGTGTCTCGTTCGCAGTATTCATTTATGTACGTTAACTACAGCGGATTGCACATGATGCATAAAAAAAGAGTGTTTTCCAAGAGCAGGGTGACAATAGCATTGTGTAGGTGTTGGTACTCGTAATTGCTGCTCGCACCAGCGCTCTGTGTTTGTGTGATTTCAATTGCCCTGCTCTACTGATGTTCTACAGGGTACTGCTTGGGGTGTTCACGCGATGCTCATGAGGGAATAGTTGATAGTAAGCCTGACAGCACACGGGGCTCCAGTAACGGTCGCAGACAGTGTCACGGCTGTTACTGGCTGGCTGGCTAACTGCAGGGCTACCGCTGGCGTTCGCCACCTTCACAAAATGTGATAAATAAGTAACAGTGGCGGTTTTACTACATTAAGTCTCGGTTGCAATTGGCAAATGATTTAGCTGCTCACAGAATTACAGTTGACTTAATGAAATCGTCAAATTGCAGTGTCGTGTCATAAAATGTTTTCGTACACTTTTTTTTCTCATACCCATCACCTGTTTATACCTTGCTTAGCACATACGATAAAGTGAACAGGGGCTATAGTTTTTTAGTGGGGGCTAAAAAATTACTTTGGTGGCTCTCAAGTCTTGGCTCAAACTTTAAAAATCCAGATGGAGCCTTGACCTGAATACTTGGCTACGTGCTGGTAACGAGGAACGGTGAGGGAACGGCGATTCAAGCACCGACCTAATCCGTAGGCGATAGGTTGCCTGTCACTGTCAGGCGTAGGTCATGATCACTCCGTCTCACCTATTTTAACATGTATGTTAGCACCCCAGAGCTATATATCCTTGATAGCTGTAGCATTGAGCTATAGATTTTCTCTCAAGTTGTTTCGGTGAGAGGTGTTTTTGCTAGGGCTGTACCGACGGAATTCGCCTATATTGCATCGGGCGTAGACGTGTTATGTGCCGCTCCTAACTCATTGTTCAGCAAAGGTCAAGAGCTTATAGAGGTCATCACTTTCCGAGGAGACACTGAGAGCGAATCTTTACTAGTCTGGCCGCAGTTCAGCGATGGAATTTTTGTGCAGCAAATAAGAACGCTGTCACGGGCAGACTCCAATCTCTGATCGTAGTTTCTAGCCCCCCATTCCAATTAGTCCCACCCACGTTCAAAATGCAAGTAGAGGAATATGAACTGACTGAGTGGCCGCCCGAGGGCGGGCGGATACACCGTCAATGTAGTCGTAAATTCATCAAGTGTTAAAGGCGTAGTGCGGGCACCAATACTGGTAATTTATGCAGACTCTTATGCTAATAAAACAGCTTTCAGCTCTGTCGTCTGAACGCCTGGAATCAGTGGAGGCAGAGGAGAGGCCACAGTGACGGTGTCGGTAGCTCTAGAGAGCTAGGGAGAGGGAAGGGGAGAGGTGGCAAGCGATATTGGCGATATTGGGAGAGAAGGGTGAGGGGTATGGAAGAGGGAGAAATGGAGGAAGGTAGAAAGGGAGAGAGGAGGGAGGGAAAGAGTGAGCGAGAGCAAGAGAGAGAGAGAGAGAGAGTCGTTAAGAGGGAAAGTGAGCTTTCAGGTAATTCTCGTCCTTGACACGCGATTTCCCTGTTGAGTGGTTTTACATCCGCTGGAGGGCCGTAGATATGCATGGCTAGGGAGGGCAGCGGTGTCGAGTGGCGGGGTCGCGTGCCAACGACCCGGCGTCTGCTACCGTGGCAGCAGCCGACAAAGCAAGCTACCTGCGGGCTACTGTGTGCCTCAGTGTCTGCTCGCTCTCAATCGCTTGATTTTACTTCCTCTCGCTCTCTCTCTCTCTCTCTCTCGCTTGCTTTTACTTTCTCTCTCTCT